CTCCCGACGCCTTTACTTTCCGCGGTTCGCAATCTGTTGAATTTCTTTGGCGTCCTGTGGAGCTGTGCTCTTTCCTGCCTGTTTTAAGTTCATTTTCCAAACGTTTCAGGTAAAAGCACAGAGTTCTGCGGGTCAGTGTGTTGAAAACTGAGCTGTGTACGCTTTAGCAGGTGAAACCGGTTTTAGTCAAAACAGTTTCTGCCAAGGGATGGAGGAGACACGTGTCTGACGTGGGTCCAAGACCGGCTCCTACCATGAGAATTTCATTAAGCAAGAAGTGCAGTAGTTTGTGCAGGGGTCGTGTGACCGGATTGGGGAGTCGACAAGGAATTGAAGGCAGACACCCAGCAATTGTAAGCAAGCTCGCTTTGTCGAAAGGAAAGTACACTCTCGGACGGGAGAGTAGGCTGACGAGACCGATCACCATCCCGGAGCCTCCTGTTTCGGGCTCTTTCGGCCTGCAGGGCTCCCAGTCCGCCCCTTGTCACCGTAGCCCTTGCCCTACGAGCCTCGATCGACAGACCGGTTTCTTACATAACCCCTTCTCCCTGAGCATGCAAAAACCATAATGTCCTCCGCTTGCCCATAGGGCGGGCGGAATCGCAATGCGAATTCATGATAATGATCATGGTAATGAAGTAGAGGAGAATTCTAGGTCACACTAGCTGTCCTTCTACCCCTGCCTGTGTTGGGGCATTTAACTGTCGTTGCCTCGCTGTTGTGTCAGGTCGAGAGTTAAGTCAGGCTATTTTTCATCTTGTCTGCTATGGGGAAGGCTCCTAGTGTAACTCCTGCCTCGGACGAACACTTGAATATGAAAGTCAAAAATCTACCATAGGTAACGAGACATTCGTTCAAGAAAAACTATGAAGAAATCGCTTTAAATTGCTCTGTTCTTTATACTTTTTATTCCACAATCGAGGCGAATAATCAACTCAAAAGCCTTTCACATAAACTTGTGATTCACAATTCATTTGGCAAACATTTCTAAATCTAATTTCAAAGTCGCTTTACATGTATCCAGGAGTAACTACAAAGAGCACTTTCCACATAAATAGTCCTATTTTAGCTGTTGTTTCTTTACTGGTGTTCTGACACGTATGCATGATAAACGCTGTTGATGAAAAAGGCGTCCTATGAAAAGTAAACACAGAGTGACCTGATCATAAATTCCTACCTGGGCAGGACGGGGTGCGTAGTCACGCCCCAGGCATCCAGCTCCTTTACTCAAAGGCTTATCTCTGCCTTAACTAAGCTCTGTTCATTGTTTCTGTGCATCTAGGTTAACTCAACCTTTGAAACACTCCCTTAGAGACTGCTCAAGAGAGTCCATCATCTTAACTCTCCTGTAATCCTATCTTTGTGTTGCTTCCTCTCACCCTGTCACCTTCCTCTTACTCCCTCCTTAATCTCAAAATGCATTAAAAGGAACTGCAGTTGTTCTGGAAAGCGTTCAGCTCAACCTACTGAGATCATGCTTCCAAAGTGTCCTCTCTTCTTAGCGCGTAAATGTTTACAAAAACTCTACAGGTTTGGAAGTTCTCACATCAACAATATACATTATACTTTTTAGATTTCTCGTTGGGGTTTATTTACTGATGTTGAACAATGTTTGAGTCTTCATTAACTACATTGCCCCATTTGTTATAATTTTAAGATCTTCC